GATGTTAAGTATATAATGAAGGAGTAAAATGGGTGTCTGTGGAGACACAAATATATTTATGGACCTTATACCCCGTACAACCTTACTTTATGCATCTTTGTATTCCTACCATCCAGCATGGTGTATGAATAAAAATAAGCTCATAAGAAATGTGTTTGGAATGAATGAATGAACATCCCTCTTTGTCTTTCTTGTATAATGTGTATTGTGTGAATTCTTTCTTCACACTTGCCATTTCTTTGTCCTATCTATAATTTACTTACTTTCTTACAGAGGATTTATGAGTAGAGATGATCAGAGTCCATCGTATAATAGAGGAGTACTTTGTGTCTCTGTGTATGTATGTGTGTATGTAAAATCTAATAGAAATCTAAATTAACTTATACCATAGGACCAGTTTTCTCAACCCCTAAAACTGACAGTATTAACTTCTATTATTACGTTTTAATTATTATCAGACTAGTTGTGGCTTTTGAAGATTCAGTACTGTGTCTAAGATTTCTGAAAATATTCTTTTTTTAAAACTGATACCTAATGTCATTAATTAGTTTGTGAAGATGTTTTCTCTGCACATTATGTGTCTATTTTACATATTGACCAGCTATCTCTGGAAGAGATAAGATGGTCTGGGGATTAACAGTTTTCTGATATGATTTTTCATCTCTCAAAAGAGGCATTTTATAGAGCTTTTGGTCATTATATCTGGTTTTTGGCCCTCTGTTAATTTACAGATCCATTTGTTCATGTGTTAACTTCTGCTACACATTTTTAATAACTCTTAAATACCAGGTGCTGTGCCTAGTGCTGGGAACATGAAGATGGGCGAGACCTTGCATGCAACCTGCTGGGCTTAGTGTCAGTGCCACATGGTGTGGGGATTGCTGTGCCAGGCCCACACTGTGGAGTAACTGAAGGCGAGCAAGGAGCTCTAGGAGGCGGGGGGGCCAGGCAAGTTGCTGCCAGGATTGAGGCAAGTCTGTGGAGTCAGTTTGTCAGTGATGAGCTGGGGGAAGTGTGTCTAAGCTGAGGATACTGGATGAAGGCTATGAAATTGTTAACACAAGTTCGTGTGCCAGACACACAGTGAGGCCAAACAAACTGAAACGTCGGAGTTTGGAGCAGAGAAAGTTTTATTGGAAGGCCATGCAAAGAGACAAGGTGGCTCATGCCCCAAAAAGCCTCCAGCTCCCCAAAGGGTTTTGGCAAAGCATCTTTTTTTTTTTTAACATCTTTATTGGAGTATTATTGCTTTACAACGTTGTGTGTTGTGTTAGTTTCTGCTGTATAACAAAGTGAATCAGCTATACATATACATATATCCCCATATCCCTTCCCTCTTGCATCTCCCTCCCACCCTCCCTATCCCACCCCTCTAGGTTTTAAAGGCCGGGAGAGGAGGAGTATGTGATCAGCTTGTACACAGTTCTCTGATAAGCTGATGGTGAGGCAGCAGGGTGGTGTCACAGGGGTTAACATTATCAGTCCTTAGGCTCCAGGAGGCCTGGGGCTGTGTGCTCACGGTCACCAAGTAGTTCTTCCATTTGGTGGAAATTTGCCTCATATACTATTATCTAGGTACTTCAGAGTGGAGCTGAAGCAGAGGATATGGGGGAAGGCCTGTCCTGGGAAGGCCCCATAGGGTCCTGCTTGGTTACAAAAAAACATGGCAATAGTTTGATTTGGTGAGAGTGACGGCTACAGTTTAGAGGGCAGAAAGAAGCGGAAACAAAGAGGGAAGGGCAAAATGCTTTTCCTATTCTTCCACATTCCTGGTCGGAGAACACTTAATTCAAACCTTCCTGTGAGAGTGGGGAGCTGGGAGCACCTAGAAGCCAGAGGTTGGCCCTTGGGCCTGACTGTTATAGTCTAGATGGACTTGGAGCTCAGGGGCCCGGCTGGTGAGGACAGGCAATGGGGGATGGGTAGGAGTACAGAGCCTCTGACAGAAATGAAAGAGCCCCTCCCCCAATAAAGAAGAAAAGAAAGGAGGTGTTTCTCTTATGGATTCCATAGCCACTGGAAGAGAAGGCTGAGGGAGGCTTCTCCTCTTCTCACACTTAGACTACTTGCCATTGCCCCTGAGTTTCCCCAGGCTGACTAAGTCTTTCAGTGGAAGACGAAATTTATTTAAAATTTGCACTATTCCAGTTACTTGGTATCAATAGTTTCACACACAGTTTTCATTGTTTTTGTTATCAGGTATATCTGTCAAGGTAGGTTAGTATACTTTTCTAACAGTTTATTGCCTTGGCTTGTAACTTTTAAATAATTAGCTGTATTGTATCCCTATTTGTCCTCTTGCCAAGGCCCTGCAAATATTAGGGCCAAGCCTGGTAATAAGTCACCATGTAAAAAGGTATGTCTTACTATGGGTCACAGACAAAAACGTTTAAAAGCCACTGACCTAGGGACACCAAGTTCACAGTCCTCTGCGTGGCATATGAGGGGCCTACCGTGATCTGGCTCTCCGCCCCCCCCCCCCCAACCC